TGTGAGTTCGAGACCAGCCTGGTCTACAAGAGCTAGTTCCAGGACAGCCTCCAAAGCCACAGAGAAACCCTGTCTCGAAAAAAAAAAAAAAAAAAAGAGTAATACAGAAAGCATGGTGGTGCACACCTTTAATCTCAGCACTCTGGAGGTAAAGGCAGGAGGATCTCTATGAGTGAGGCCAGCCTGGTCTATATGGTGAACTACATGTTGACTATACAGACAGAGTCTGTCTCAAAAGGAGGGAGAAAGAATAATAGTTATTCCTTTAAAATAAATTTTATGGCATGAGTACCGTGTAGAAAATTAATACTGCAGTGCTAGGGATACGGCTTCATGGTAGCATACTTGACAGGCATGTTCAAGGTCCTCAGTTAGGGCCCTGAGGTCAAAAAGGCCCTTTCAAAAGCACTGAGATGGAGTGGATCACAAACGAACGGGCTTCTCATTGTAAAATCAAGCTGGGCCTGGAGCCACGTGCCTGCAATTCTAGCAAAAGGATTCAAAGATTGAACCCAGACTCATCAGCAAGATCCTGCCTTTGACATGAGCATTTGCTGCTCTTCCAGACAACCCAGGTTTAGTTCCCAACACCCACATGACAGCTCACAACCATCTGTAACTCCAGATCCAATGGCCTCTTTTAGTCTCCTTTGGGCACCAGGCATGCATGCAGTACAGACAAACATGCAGACAAAATGCCACACACATAAAATCAAATTAAATTAAAATTTTAAAATAAATAAAAATTTCACCAGGTGGTGGTGGTGGTTTACACCTTTAGTGCCAGCACTCAGGAGGCAGAGGCAGGAGGAAATTGGAGTTTCTGTAAATCGGAGACTAGCCTATTCTACAGAGTTTCAGGACAGTCAGGGCTATATTGTGAAACCTTGTCTCAAAAAATAAAATAAAATAAAACAAAATAAAATATTAGAACAGGGAAACTTTTAAGCAAACTAAGTAATTCCCAGTGACAATCATCAGCACCAGTTTCTTTAAACTGTATATTCATTCCAGAAATTTAGTGTTATGAAGTATTTTAAATTCAGTAACTACACTGAACATTTGAAGCCAACCCAAATTTTGTTTTAAGTAAGAATCCATCATCAAACTGCTCCATGAATAGTATGGTACATAAACACCACACTAGATGTCAGAAATGTGGGTTCTGTTTCTGCCCAATAGCAACAATTTCAGCAGATCACCTCTTTCTCAGTTATTTATGCTTTCAAATTTTTCAAATATAAAACAAGACTGGATCTATACATGGATATTCGTTCTAGAATTTTAAGAATTGTAAGCAATTTATTTTAACCAATTTATTTAATTTATTTTTGAGAGCACAACTAAAGGAAAGTTAACAGCAGTACGGAATTACACTGAAAATCTGCACAGACACACTGTTTTTGTTATGTCTCTGACTTTCAAATTCAAGTGGGTGGAGGGGACAGGTTGTATCTGAAGACTATCCAAGTAACTTTTTGGCCACAGGAACTCCTGGGGTAGTAAAAATGGCTGAAGAATAGAATAAATGTTCAAGAAAAAAAAAAACCAAGATCACAAAAATACCAAAATAAAAAAGATGATCCACAGAGTTACTGCTACACTGCAGTGGTTTTTCATAGTTTTTCAACTTTCCTAAGGAGACCTGATAGAGAAAGAACTGTCCTCTTCACTATCAAAATTACTTTTTGTATCCTCAAACACAAGAACAAAGTATCAATGCAGTGACAACTTAGTTACCTGAACCTATAATTCATTTAAACTAGAAGTTATTTAAATTAAAAGCTATTATTTATGCCTTTATAGCTTTTAACATAAAAATGCTTCTCACACTGGCTAAACAAGTTAATGACTGAAAATACAAGCCTCTGATCTTTTAATTTTCTTTCTTGAGTTTTTTCAAGACAGGGTTTCTCAGTGTAACAGTCCTGGCTATCCTCAAACTCACAGAGATCTGCCTGTCTCTGCCTCCCGAGTGCTGGAATTTAAAGGCATGAGCCATCACCACCCAGCTTCATTTTTTCTTTATATTGAAGAAAATACAACATTTTCAGTTCTCTATATATTTATTCATTTTTATTTCATGTGTGTGAGTGCTGTGCCCCACATGTGTGCCTGGTGCCCTTGGAGGTCAAGAGGGCATCAGATCCCCTTGAACTGGAGTTACAGGTAGCTGTATGCTGGCATGGGTGCTGGGAACCAAACCTGGGTATCCTACAAACACAAAAAGTACCTAAATTACAGCACTCAGAAGGCAGAGGTAGGAAGATCTCTGTGAGTTTGAAGCCAGCCTAGTCTACAAAGAGACTTCCAGAACAGGCTCCAAAGCTACACAGAGAAACCCTGTCTCAAAAAACAACAAAAAAAGTATGTATTATCTACTCCTCTTTTCCTCCTCTTCCTTCTTTTTTGAGACAGTCTCTCCTTTTCTGGCTAGAACTCACTATGTAGACCAATCTGGCCTCAAACTCAGAGAGCTGCGGCTAGTGTTAAGATTACCATGGCAGGCAATATATTTTTTTTCAAATTCATGGGAGAGAATCATAGCTATATAAATATTAGCAACAGGTAAATTCTGATGTTATAATGTGAATACATTTTTTCTAACTTCACCATGAGAGATTTGCAGATAAGCCATTACTATCTCACAGAAACACAATCCTTTTACCTATTTAAAGTAATTTTATAACTATTTTTTTTTGAAACAGGATGATGAATATTCCAGGTTGGCCTCAAACTCAATATAGAGCTAGCTACGGACAACCCTGAAGTTCTAATCTTCCGGTCTCCAACTCCTGAGTGGGCATGAGTCTGCTTTTATGTCATGCCGGGGAAATCAAACCTGGGGCTACATGCATGTTAGTGGAGCTCTCTACCAAATGGGCTGCAGCCCCAGTCCAATTTCATAACTATTAACTCAGTCTAGACTCACAACAACAAAACCTGTGAGGTCAGAGGTTTTTCCAATATTATAGATGAGGAAACTGTAGCACAGAAAGGTTGAACACGTTCTAAATGCCAGGGAAGGAATCATGATTCTTAGTATTACAATTTCTCAGGAGGAGTATTACAACATATGGCAAGTCTTTTCTAAAAGATAAATGTTTTGGTATGGCAAGTAATCACTTTCTAGATATATATAAACACAAACACACATATACATCACACTTTGATTTTCACTAACAGGTGCACTTAAGACAAAGCAACTGGAAGCTATAAATATTAAGATAAACTAAATGGCTACTGAATTTTAATAGAATAAGAAAATAAGATTTCACTCTAATAAGTTAGCTTTATTCTGTAATTCTTACTCATATCTAGATAAGTCAGAGACTGAGCCCAGGCAAATATGAGCTGGCTTATCCAATAAATGAGAGATTTATTAAAACATTTATTTCCCCAAAATATTAAAAATTACACAGTACTCCAGATACGATGGCGCAAGCTTGCAATCCCTGCACCAGTTACATGGAGAGTTCCAGGCCAGCAAGTCCTACAGACTTCAACGACCTCAAAACAAACTAAATTAACCGATTTAAAACATCAGCTCTCGGTTTGTCCACCAGACATTGCACGTGACTCAGAATCATCAGCTACTATTCATCAAGATACCCTTGAACGAATGAATGACTATGTGTGTGTGGGCATTTAAACCCCAGGCCTGTTGCTCTCTGCATACAGCCACTCTCAGCCTCCCAGGATTCTCACCAGGGTGCACACAAGGAATGCAAATTTCAAATACAACAGGACATAATCAGAGCAGCAAATCTGACGCAGGTGAATATACTAATCCCAAAGATTAAAACTACCCATAACGCTATTCTCCAACGTTAACTCTGTTGAACAGGCACGGTGGCACACAACCTGGCCAACACTTCTCATAATTATCATTTATTCCCATCCACTACTCCTTGTCATACATGACTATTCCTGATCCACACCAATTCTAAGAACGCAGTGTCCTTCCCGTTAAGGTTCCTTTCTCAATTAGTTTCTCAAATCCCGTCGCTGTCTCCCAAAAGAAGGGGTGCACTCTCCCACTTAGCGCAGAAAACACCAATAACAAACGGCAGGAGGCAGAGGGTGCTGCTCTTCGCATCTGCACCACTACCAACCCTTCGCCATTATACCTCAAGTGGGCCAGTTAGAAAGGTGAACTAGTTTGTTGTTCACACACTTGTCCACCGTTGTCACCCTCCTTAACCCCTTCCACACTCGCCAGACAGCTTCCAACTCTCCCTCAAGAGTGGGCCTAGGCGGGTCACCTGCGCCGGCCCCGCCCGGGGCCGTCCATCCGCGCACCCCCTCCTCCAGCCGTGCAGGCACCGCACGCCCCCTCCCCACAGGACAGATATCTCTGGCCGACCTCCGCTCACCTAAGGCCATTCTTCCCCCAAACTCTAGAAGCCTCCACTCGCCTAGCCTCAACTCCCTGCCGCGCCCGACTCGCCCCTTGGTGGCCGAGAGGAAGAGAACGGTGGTTCGCACGGGTCACAGCCCGGCGCACTCCGCAACGCCCCTGGCCCGCCCGAGAAGCCGCCTCCGGCACTGGAGCCCTAGAAGCCTTCGGAAGCTCCCGGGCGAGCAGGGCCCCGAGGCCGGGGCTGCAGGCGCCAGGCCTACTCACCGGGAGCTGGCGGAGCGTGGGAGCCGGCGCGCCCCACGGCCGGACGAGCGGGGCGCGGCCCCGGCGCGCGGCCCTCCGCCCGGCCCTCGCTCGGCGCGGCGAGCTGGGCGCTCACACCGGCCGCTGCCGCAGCTTCGCCACCTTAGCCGCCATCTTGCCTCAACCCCTCTCCCTCCCCCCCCTCAGGCCCCGCGGCCGCGCTAAGGCGGCTCCGACGCGGGCTCCTCCTCCTTCCGGAGGGTTGGGGAGACGACACCCTCCCCGGGCGGAGCGCCGTTCTTACCTCGGCCTCGCTTCCTGGGCCGGGGGTGCCGCGCCGGTTCCTTCCAAGTTGTCCCTCACACTCCTACCGGCTCCGGCAGCACTGCCTCGGGCCCGACCCGCCGCGGCAGCCATCGCGCACCCGGCCCGGAGCGCCACCGCGAGCCGGCCACTCCCGCGCGCCCGGGGCCTTCCCCCTCAGGCATGGGAAAGGACCCGGCGCCTGGCGCGAGGCTAGCCTTGCGACCCTTGCGCTCCGCCAAAGCGGCTGTACGCTCCTCGCCGAAGACAGAAAGCCGAGCCCACGTGGCTGGGATGCGCGTCAGTGTCGCACCGGGTCTTCCCCGGAATGGCGGGTTAGGCCTTCTCCGCGGCGCGGCTCCTTAGTCTACCTCTCAAAGAGAATTCAGGGGCCTCCTGACCGCACTCTCAGCCGTACCCTTCTGGTGAAATGACGTTTGCTCATAGCCGCTTACTTTTCCTCTATCAAAGCCGCCCTCTGAGGGGGGGAAAAAAGTGACCCGCTTCGGAAAACTTTTATCCGGATAACGGGCTGTTTACACGAAGTCTTGGGTCATAAGACGTGGGTTAGAAAACGAGTTGAAGCGAGAAGGGAACTCTTCCTACCAAATGTTGAAGTTTATTTGCAAAGGCTTCCGTTTTAGCCGGCGTGCTGTAGCACGCCTGACACACCAGCGCTGGAGGCAGAGGAGGAAGGAGGATCATTGCAAATTCGAGCCCAGCATGGTCTACATAGTGAGCTCAGAGGCACCCAAGGGTACCTACCACACAGCGAAACGCTACCTCAAGATAATTGCACGGTGCTTCCTTTTAAGCACACTGAACGGAAGAAGGCTACTAGACCTCACAGAGCTCGGGTTAGCCCTGAGACTGGAGCAGGGACAGGATTTTGCCATGGCTGTATACGAGATGAGGCGGCGCGGTGTGGGTGGAAGTTTCCACGGTAGACCACGAATCTCGCCGTTCTCCAGCCACAGGGCACTTGAGCACGGAACGCAGTTTCAGCGGGTTCAGTTTTCCCGCAGGAGCCCGAGTCCACCGCCGCCTTCCTTACTGCGCAGGCGCGGTGCCACTTACCCGGCATGGAAGTGGTGGGTCTCTTGTGTCTGCTGATGGCTGTCCTGACTTGGGGCTTCCTCCGGGTTCGGGACACGGCGGAACGAATGAGGTCTCCGGAGCAGGCAGGCCTGCCGGGAGCCGGAAGCCGAGCCCTTCTGGTGATCGCGCACCCGGACGATGAAGCCATGTTCTTTGCTCCCACGGTGCTAGGCTTGGCCCGCCTGGAGCAGCGGGTGTTCTTGCTCTGCTTCTCGGCAGGTAGGAGACCGTAAGAGGGTCGCTGGGAGCCGGGTTAGGAACTTTAACAGATCTCAGTTACTTCCTCTAGAAAGGTTTTCTGTCATAGATAGCTAAGTGAATATAGCGAAGGTCCTTTCTCTGTGCTCGTCACAGAATGACTACAGAAACAGCCGACTTCCCCGATAGGTTGCGGAACCCGGAGCGAATTCCACTCTTCCCCAGCTAAACTGAGGAGCAGAAAAGTGGTTGCTCATCGCTGGTTCCATTCAGTACTTGCGTGTTCCTTTGGGAACTGCGACTACGAGTGTTTTGTTTTTTAAGACATTCTCACTGCAGCCTAACTCCACCAGTGCTGGGATTACAGATGTGAGCCGATGGATGTGCCTGACCTTTTATCCTGAGAAACCATCTATTTACAGAAGGATCAAATATAATCGTGCACCAAACAATCTAAGCTTTGGTGTCTGCCCAACCCACCAAGTTTCTTTCCTAATAATAGCAAAAGACATTCCTAATGCTTTGAAATCCATTGTGCACTACAAAGATGCTTATGTCAGATTGGAGGAATTGCCCCAGAATAGATAGAAACTATTTAATTTTAAAGTTCATCTCCACCCAGCTTTCATTAAGAGAACTCTTCAAAACTAAGGCTTTCACTATGATACAAACCAAAACAAACAAAAAAATGACACTTAAATATGTCGATGACTTCGAACTGTTTACATACAGTTGGTGAATTTAAGATATGTCAAATTATACTTCAATAAAGTTGATTTTAAAAATCACCCATGACCTCTTTTCCCATGTGATTGTGTCATTCCAGTTCTTCATTTTTAAAAAACAGACTTTTCACAGAAATCGAATTTTACACATTGTTTCCCTTAGCACCACTTTGTATTAATACATATTTATGCTAGACCTTATTCTAGATCACCCTCATTAAGATTGATTTATGAAATTGGCTGAATTTGGGAGAATTACTGATTTTTAAACAGAGCTAATACAGATTAATTAAAGAAAAGTTGAGAACTCCCAAGGGGGTGGCTCCAAGGAAGGAATACCACCCCCCACAGGCTTTCCCTGTGTAGACCAGGCTGGCCTCGAACTCACAGAGATCCACCTGCTTCTGCCTCCCAAGTGCTGGGATTAAAGGCATGCGCCACCACTGCCTGGCCCAAAAATCTTTTTCTAATGGAAGATATAAGCATTCACTTAGCAATCAGTACTTCTATTGATGCCTTTAATTATTTCCTTATGAATCCATCTTGCCATTTTTTTAAATAATGTATTTAATTTTTATTTTATGTGCACTGGTGTGAGGATATCAGATCCCCTGGAACTGGAGTTACAGACAGTTGTGAGCTACCATGTGGGTGCTGGGAATTGAACACGGGCCCTCCGGAAAGGCAGCCAGTGCTCTTAACCACTGAGCCATCTCTCTAGCCCCTATCTTGCCATTTTAAATCTGTTATTGTTGTAATAATATTTAATATAGCATAGTGAAAATTGTAGCAATATAATGGAGAAAGCACAGTGGGCAGGAAGTCAAGAAGAACATTAATTCTCTTTTCAGAAGGTTTCCTTAAAGAAGGCTCCAAATAGGGTTTCTTTTGATCTGGGCTTCAAAAAGGAAGACCTTATACAGGGAACAGAGCTGATCCTTGTAGGCCATACTAAATAATTTGGTTAAGTCTTGCATTTGTGCAAATAGCTTATCCCAACTACATCCTCAGTTGGGGGAGAAGTGAGAAACAAGACAAAGAGTTTTATTTTGGCAATGGTGACTCAGTTAATTGTCCTCAGTCATCCTATAAGATGATACTATTATTTCTATTTTACAAATAGGCATTGAATCACCAAGACTTTAACATGAAAGAGCTAAGACCCTGTGGCTCCACTCCCCTCTAAACCATTACACCCAAGCTTCCCAGTTGCCTTGTGTGCCCTGTCAGTTGATAAAGCTGATTTCAAGAATCATTACTTCATCAAGCTTTTTTTTTTTTCTTTTTTGGTTTTTTGAGACAGGGTTTCTCTGTGTAGCTTTGGAGGCTGTCCTGGAACCTGCTCTGTAGACCAGGCTGGTCTCGAACTCACAGAGATCCACCTGCCTCAGCCTCATGAGTACTGGGATTAAAGGTGTGCGCCACCAATGCCCGTGCAAGCTATTTTTTTTAAAGTCTATTAGTTATTTATTTGTGAAGAGAAGGGCCTGCGTGCCATGGCCCACAGATAGTCTGCAGAATATAACCTGCAGGAGTCAGTTCCCTCCTTCCACCCTATGAGTCCCTGGGACTGAAATCAGGTCATCAGGCTTGACAGCAAGTGCCTTTACCCACTCAGCCATCTGTCTGGCCCCAAGCCACTGTTTAAGAAATTTTTTAAAGGAGAGGTGCTGGAGAGATGGCTCAGCAGTTAAGAGGGCTTACTGCTCTTTTTTTTTTTTTTTTTTTTTTTTTTTTTTGGTTTTTCGAGACAGGGTTTCTCTGTGGCTTTGGAGGCTGTCCTGGAACTCACTTGGTAGTCCAGGCTGGTCTCGAACTCACAGAGATCCGCCTGCCTCTGCCTCCCGAGTGCTGGGATTAAAGGCCTGCGCCACCAACGCCCGGAGGGCTTACTGCTCTTGTGAAGACCTGAGTTTGGTTCCCAGTAATGACTTCAGGAGGCTTACAACAACCTATTTCTCTAGCTCCAAAAGAGTCAACACCCTTCCCTGGCCTCTACGTGCACCTGAACTCGCATATATATGCCACCCCATGGCACACTAAAACAATTAAAACTAAAATTAAACCTGGGCATGATAGTGCACACTAGCACTTGGGAGGCAAAGACAGGCAGTTGAGTTCGAGGCCACCCTGGTCTACATAAGTGAATTCTAGGATAGCCAGGGTTACACAGAGAGACCATGTCTCAAAAAAAAAAAAAAAAAAAAAATTTAAAAAAATAAGTGTGATAGCACATTTTTAATGTCAGTACATGGGAAGCAGAACAGGTGGATTTCTGAGTTCAAGGCCAGCCTAGTTTACATAGAGGTTTCTAGAACAACCAGGGCTACATAAAAAGACCCTGCCTCAAAAACAAGTAAATAAGATAATAATAATCTGTCTGTTTTAGTTCATTCTGATAGCTATATGAAAATGGTTTGATAGATAGAAAAGACTGGAATCATGAAAGCCAACATTTCCCCTCTGGCTCACATGGGATTGTGTGTGTGTGTGTGTGTGTGTGTGTGTGTGTGTGTGTGTGTGTGTGTGTGTGTGTGTGTAGTTCTCCATACTCATAGAGATTCCCTGCCTCCTTCCCCGCCACCCACCTTTGAGATAGGGTTTATCTGTGTAACAGACCTGGCTGTCCTGGAACTAGCTTTGTAGACCAAAATGGCCTCAAACTCACAGAGATCCACCTCCCTCTGCCTCCTGAGTGCTGGTATTAAAGGCAAGCACCACCACCACCCAGCAGAAAAAAAGTTTTACTTATACAGTTGTTTTGTCTGTGCATGTGTCTGTGTACCACTGTGTGAGTGGTGCCCATGGAGGCCAGAAGAGGGCTTTAGATCCCCTGAAAGTGGAGTTACAGATGATTGTGAGCCTCCACCTGAGTGCTGGGAATTGAACCCAGATCCTATGGAAGAGCAGTAAGTGCTTTTAACAGCTGAGCCATTTCTTCAGTCCTGACATCTCTGTTTTAAGTACTGTAACTTTTAATGTTTTTTTATTTGTGGCAGGGGCGTGCAGACACCATGCCATGTGTGTGAAGATCAGAGTACAACCTTGTGGAAGGATTTTCTCCTTCCACTATTACGTGGATTCCAGGGTTCAAACAAGTCATCAGGCTCAGTGGCTTACTACTAAACCATCTCAGCAGCCAAATGACTGAAATTTATAGTGCTATTACCCAATATGATCAAACATCTGATTGCTGCTCAGGGTGTATTTTCTTGTTTTGACCTTTTTTGTTTTTTCTTCTAAATAAATAGGTTTTAGAATCAGGTTGGCCATATTCAAGAAAAAACTTCACTGGCATTTTCCCACTATTGGAATTTCACTGACTTAGTGTCAGAAGAGGACATATTTATAACATAAAGTCTTTCTGGCTATCATTTTATGATGTCTCATTTATATTGGCCTTCTTTCTATCTGTTAAGAGTCTTGTTTGGTTTTGGTTTCTGTGCTGGGCTTGAGCCCAGGGCGTTGAGCATACTTAGCATGTGTCCTACCACTGACCTACACCCCAGTCTTTTACTATTGCAATGTTATCCAGGCCAGCCTCAAACTTGTGATTTCTCTGCTTGTCTGCTTGGCCTCCCGAGTAGCAGGCACATACCACCATATGTGGCCGCAAGAGGATTACGTTTAGGTCTTCCATACATACTGAGATGGTGTTTATACAATTCTGTCCTTCAGTCTATTTCTCTTGCCTAGAGTTTCCTATTGCAAATGTCACAGTCTCTGTTGTAGTCTCATACTTGATATCTTCATTTATTCCTTTACTCAATTAAATAGACTTCCTAATAACTCCCAATTTCAGTATTTGTAGGTCTGATTCTGTTCTTTGTTCTTACAACTTACTCTGGGTTTATTTTTATATGTATGTGCACATGTGTCTTAAAACCATATTTGTGGTAACAGATTAATTGTTTACTTTTTCTTCTGTTTTTATATTTTCAAAACAGTTTCTCTCTGTAACAGCTCTGGCTGTCCTGGAACATACTCTGTAGACCAGGCTGGCCTCAAACTCACAAAGATCAGCCTGCCTCTGCCTCCCAAGTACTGGGATCAAAGGTGTGCGGCACCACCACCCTGCTTGGTTCATTTTTTTATTTTTAATTTTATTTTATTTTGGTTTTTCGAGACAAGGTTTCTCTGTATTGTTCTAGAGGCTGTCCTGGAGCTTGCTCTGTAGACCAGGCTGGCCTCAAACTCACAGAGATCCGCCTGCTGGGATTAAAGGTGTGCACCACCAACGCCCACAGTTCACTTTTTCTAATATTTATTTTGTATGTGTGGGTGGGTAGTATATGT